ACATGTTATCAGGAGGGACCAGTCCCTGGAGAAGGACATCATGCTTGGTAAAGTAGAGGGTCAGTGAAAAAGAGGAAGACCCTCAATGAGATAGATTGACATAGTGGTCGCAACCATGGGCTCAAGCATAACGATTACGAGGATGGTGTAGACCGGGCAGTATTTCGTTATGTTGTACATAGGGTCGCTGTGAGTTGGAACTGACTCAATGGCACCTAACAACAACAACACCAGCCTTCTATCACTTAACTGTTTACTTGTCTAGTCTTTTAAATATAGGTATTTGTTTAGATATCTATCTGTGTTTACAATGCATTTGTTGTATTTTCTATGTGAATCCATATTTGAACATATGAATATTCATCTGTCTGTATTAGTTTTCTGTAGCTGTGTAAACAATGTGTCTTAGTCATCTAGTGCTGCTATAACAGAAACACCACAAGTGTATGGTTTTAACTAAGAGAAGTTTATTTTCTCACAGTTAAAGTAGGCTAAAAGTCCAAATTCAGGGCATCAGCTCCAGGGGAAGGCTTTTTCTCTCTGTCGACCTTCTTCTCTTCAGTGTTCCCCTGGACTAGGAGCTTCTCTGCACAGGGACCCCGGTCCAAAGGATGCACTCTGCTTCTGGCACTGCTTTGTTGATGGTATGAGGTCCCCCTGTCTCTCTGGTCACTTCTCTCTTTTATGTCTCAAGAGATTGCCTCAGGACAAAATCCAATCTTGTAGACTGAGTCCTGCCTTACTAACACAACTGCCACCCATCCTGCCTCATTAACATCATAGAGGCAGGATTTACAACATATAGGAAAATCACACAATACTAGGAATCATGGCCCAGCCAAATTGATACACACGTTTTGGGGGACATAATTCAATCCATGACACAATGTTACCACAAACTTAATGGTTTAAAACAACACACATTTATTATGTCACAGTTTCTGTGGGTCAGGAGTCCAGGCATGGCTTAGCTGGGCTTTCTGCTTAGGATCTCACAAGGCTGCAGTGAAGGTGTTGGCTGGAGCTGCTGTCTGATTTGAACCTTGACTGGAGAAGGGTCCACTTCTAGGATTATGTGGTTGTTGGCAGAATTTAGCTCCTTGCATGTGTAGGACTGAGGGTTTCCATTGCATGTTGGCTGTCAGCTCTAGGCTTCCCTCAGCTCTTAAAGGTTGCCCTCAGTTTCTTGCCGCCTGGGCCTCCCAGCATGACTGCTTGCTTCATCAGAGCCGGCAAGGGAGAGAGTCTTTGCAAGACAAAGGCCATAGGTTTATGTAATACAATCACACGTAATCGGGTACATCCCTTTACGTATTTTGCCTGACTAGGAGCAAGTCACAGGTTTTGCCCACACTCAGAGAGAGGGGCTCACACATAGGCATGAACACCATGAGGTGGGGATCCTAGGGTCACTCTTGTTTCTCTGCCACATATGCATATTAGCATGTATTGCAGGTGTCTCTGTGTGATTGTCAGACACTACCATGTCATTCCTTGAGTCCCTAGGTCCTTAGTGGTCTGCCTTCTTTTCTCCTTTCAGAATCTTATATTTGTTTTATGTATATAATGCCCCAGGTTTTTAGGTGTACTTAGCAGGAAGAATAGGGAAAAGTACGTCTGCTCCATCTTCCCAGAAGCAGAAGCCCATTGGCCATTGGTTTCTGAACTTGGGATTTAGGCTGGTTACCTTCTGTCTTTTATTATACCACTCTAGAAATTATCCAATTTATGTTTCTTCTTCCTCCTTTCCTCTTGTTACTAGCTATAAATTCTTCCCTTGCCTATCTCCCACTTTTCTCTTTTTTCTTGCTGGTGCCAATATTCTACCAGAAAAAGGAAAATAGTCCATAAATACTATTTAGGCAAGATATCACACTCAATAAAGTATCAGTTTATTATCTTTAGACCTATAGAATTATATGTCATCTGAATAAGTTAGATGTAAAAAAAGGGATATATAACATAGTTCAGTGTTCTTTAGTCTATTCTGTGGACTGTCTACATCAGAATCATCTGATGCTTGTACAAAGTGTATGTCCTAGATCCCGACCACAGATATACTGAATCGGAATCTCTGGAGATTCTGGAGAAATATGTATTGTTGTAAAGCATCTCAAGTGACTCTTTTTTTTTCAATTGTAGTTTAAGCGAAAGTTTACATTTCAAGTTAGTTTCTCATACAGAAGTTCATACATACATTGTTATGTGACCCTAGTTACTCTCCCTATACTGTGGCGGCACACTTCTCCTTTCTACCGTGATTTCCCGTATCCATTCAACCAGCTTCTGACCCTCTCTGTCTTCTCATCTCACCTCCAGACAGGAGCTGCCCATTTAGTCTCATGGATCTACTTGAGC